CAAGTGACGGAAATCAATGCAGATTGGAGAATTTGAGAACTAGAACGTCACCAAGAACCTTATATCAGACAATCGTTGGTTTAAATGACGCCCAAAAGAATGTGGTTAAACAGATGGGGCTTGGCGCTTTATTAGAAATGACCATTAATGGAGTGTCATCGAAGCTTGGGTTTTATGTTGTCGACAACCTTGGCATGAAGAAGATGGAGTTGAAGGTTGTGAATGGTGGAATACCAATCATAATTGAATCAATCCATAGATTGTTGGGTTTGAGAATGGGAGGAGTTGATATTCTAGAGATGGATGAAGTGGAGGATTCAAAAAATATGACAGCTAACTGGAGGAAACAGTTTGATAAGAAAAAAATGCGGCCGAAAGAYATTATGAAGATAATACAAAGTTCAGGAGATGCAGGGTTCAACTTCAAACTGAATTTTCTTGTTCTCTTCATGAATCTGATGGTTGAATGTAATAGGATGGGATGCTGCAATTTTGGGTTCCTATCTAGAATAGAAAGTGAGGATGTAATACCAGAAATAGATTGGTGTAAGTACATATATGGGAATATAAAAACAAGCAAGTCAAGATGGAGAAGGGATAGTAGAATGTGCTTCTATGCTGGCCCGTTGACATACCTCGCTGTAAGTTTTTCTAGATATATAAAACTACAAAAAAGCTTTATATAACAAAACCAATATTTAATTTGCAGTTGTTATATGTGGAAGCGACGATAAGTCCAAAAGTTGTGGTGGAGCACAAGGGCCATGCAATCTCAACATGGAACCTTGATTGGTTAAAGAAAAGACAATCAACAGAGATTAAAGACGGAGGGTTCGGGCTTTTACCTCTACGATCTAAAGCTGAATCAAGTGAAGATGTTCATCACAGTTACGCTTCAAATCAAGAGAATATTGGTGAAACATCAACACCGACACATCTGAGCAAAGAGGTTTGATTTATGTATTGTATTTTCATGAAACTGCTTATTTCGTTTAACACACCATATCATGTTTCATTTAACACACAGTGATTGAATGAATCATGTTTCAATTAACACACCTTGATGAATCTGGGTTATATGTTAATGAAACATGTTAACATAGGTGCATATATTAACACAGGCACACATGTTTGACATCAGCATAGCATTGTATTGTCTTTCATTTTATTATTTTAAGTTATGCAATTTCTAATACATTTAAATGTCAACAAATGCAGGATCATGTTCAGCGGATACTTATTAAGATCGCTGTTGTTTTAAGCGCAAGAGTGGAGGCTGAGATTGAGATTAAAGAAGCGATGTCCAAGTTTCCAGATGACGAAGAATTCAAGCAATACAAGAATCAGTTGGATGACATGTTCAAGGAAAGAGCATGTAACATGACACATGACACTCATTCCATTGGATTAAAGGATCATTCAATTGCAAAAAATGATGGACAACCTTCAATGGATATTGTTGTAAGTCAGCCAAGTGGGTTCAATGAAAAACCACTGCCCAAGATTTGGTTAAGCCCTGGTTTCATTGAAGCAGTTGATAAAGTAGTTGAAAATACTATATCAACGTCAAAGACGAAAAGACTATATGCAGCCATTACTCCTCCAAAGCTTGATTTGGGTATTAGTCCAATCAAGCAATCGGAACCTTTGTCAATGGTATTGCATGAAGAGGCTGAATGTATAGAAAGATGTCCTTCGGTGGAAAGATGTAATGTATCTGAAGATGCAAAGAAATATCAAGTGGAGCGAGCGATAAGACGTGAACTAAAGTTGGGTGACCATCTCAGGTCCCCTTTTGTTATCAGAGCCGTTGACCTGAACGTGACACCAGAAGAAAGAAAAATCCATGAATGGGCAGTGGCTGGGCTTGGAGGAAAGTAGTAAGTTTATAATTACATGAAAATTTCTTTGTTGCATTATTACCACGATGGCATCCGTCTTCATCTTTTATTTATCATTTTTTACGGTTTTAAATGCAGCGAGTTGTTGTTTTCAACACCAAACGATACGACGCTGCATCGTCATGCGATCGAAAGCTTGGGGCGTACAACTACAATTTACGTTAGTGTGATCGACGCGTGGGCAACATTGCTTAACTACGAGGAACGGTATAGGAACAGGGATTCCTTGCGTCGTTATTTTTTTAACACGGAAGTTATGGTACGTGAAAAGGCGAATACTTTAAATGTCATTTATTTCCTTGTCTAACAGCTTAATTAATATAAACCATTAATAAATCGTTGCTTATGACACGGGGACACTAAGCTAAGATCTAAGAGCGTCAATCATAATACCCAATACGCACTTTTCAAAAAGGGTTTGTTATCTTGTGCGAAAAACAATTGGGAAGTAGTACAAATGCGTAACGTACACCTGGTATGTTTTTCAATTTCATATTGTTTTCGCTGTATTTTGCTACCATATTCCACATGCACTCAATCACCCATGTCAATGAATCTGATACACTATTGCAAATATCATTAGCTAATTCGCATGTACTAATACATTGATGCAAATGGTTTCATTAGTACACTACATAAGCTATTAAATGATGACACATAGTTTACCAATGAAATTAGGTTCATATGTAAGCTATTGAATTTGGTTTCATCAGTATGTTATATGCTTTTTTATGCACAGTTTCAACATGAATTTGGTTTCATCAGTATGTCCCATGCTGTTTAATTAACCTAAATGCACACCATGTTACATTATGTTTTATATGCACAGTAACAGCAAGTAACATGCTGTTAATGAACCTAAATGCTTGTACCAGCACATT